CCCCCGCCCCCGCCCTCTGCTACCCCTTTTAGGTCACTCAGGGCATCTCCTTTTTAACTTTTCTCCCTCTGCCCTTAGGCATCATTGGAGATCATTTCACCTGTAAAATCTAAGTCCCTTTGTGTGTTTTGGCTGAAGAAGAAAGTGAGGGAAGGTAGATGGAGGAGAGACATAAATACACTAAAATATGCTCTGAGCCCTCAAACAAATCTTGAGTATCCCCAGAATGTAAACATTTTCAGGAAACTTGTGCGGATTTACTTATAGGTAAGATGAACTCAAAAGGGAAATGTGTCAATACATTAAGTATGATGGCCAAAAGTGTACAGAAGTGCCTACTGGATTTTTCTAGCTTCCTAAGTCCCTGAAAGATCTTATGGTGCAGAATAGATGAGGTAATTAGTACCATTTTACCAGATTCCTCTCAAATATATGGGATGCCATCTAAATATCTCTATTGTACTAAAACAAATGTTGTTGAAATGATACAGTATTAATTGCAATGGGAAAATCTTTGTACTATGCAGATACTGTAGATATAGTTACATTCAATTTGTAGATTACAGTCATAAGACATCGAAAGTAATTCATTCACATCTCTTTTGAACTACATGATAATTCAGGAAACAAATTACAAGGCAGGAAACATGTACTTATGAAATTCATTAATGACATTTCAAGAGTCAATGTGGTCATTTTAAGGTGCCTCTAGCGCAAAAAAAAAATTACTGTTGTCAAATTACAAATGCAAACGTTAAACATTCATATTCCATACAATAATATGGTTTTGAAGGAAGAAAACAGATTCATGTGAAAATGGATCCTGTCCTAAATATTATTTCTAAAAGAAATTTTAAGAAATTTAAGGCTAGAGGAAAATATAACTTTTTTAAAATGTCCTGGAAAAGAGTTTTTCTTTAAAGGGAGAAAAAAAATCCCCCATAGTTGGCCATATCTAAAAGCCCCATCTCTGTGTAAAGACTGGCACTTTCCTCATCTCAGAAATCTCATAAAAATTAAATATTTATTTCATGAATTATTGATCAGTCTATTAGAACCCTTATGTGAATATGAAAATGATCAATATCTTTTCAAAGGTTAGAGCATAAAAGGTATTACTTTTAGTTTTCAGAATTAAAACTTTATTTTGTAACCTTTCCACATTCTACTCCTTACCTCAATTTAATTTTCATAGATAATTAAGATATTTTAAAAACGTTACTTTTGACTGGAAACCTTTCTCTTTTGGATCGCTCACCACACAGGCAGAAGTTATCCATCACCAACCCCCACCTTCCATTTACATCTGTTTTCTTCATTAAAATCTGCAGACATTTATGCTGGCAGCTTTGGAAAGTGCAGAAAACTGTTTATGTAGTTAGGCTGTTCCAGGCAGTCCCCAGCTACTAGGTGGTAGTACTTTCCTGATCCTTCTTTCACAATATCAAAATGTTTCCAGAGATGATGTCATTTCATTGGCAGAGAAACTTTTCCAACCAAATCTTTTCTTTCTTTCTTTCATTTTCCCAAATCATCCAATTATTCAAGGTCATAGTGACCCAAGCATTTAATTGGTGTCTTTATGTACAGAATTAACATCCCTATTTTTATTGTAAATCAAATTAGTTTCAGAAATGTTTGTTTTCACGTGCAAATTAGGTGATCTGATCTTCTGTTCAATTTTAGCTTGTATAAAACTACCACCAATGTCATGATTACCTTAACAGGTATATTATCTGATATGTAAAAGAAAAGGTTAGGTGTTAAAGTAAGCATCTTTTAATGTGTTACGAACAATAAATGAGCTTCTAGAATAAAAAGTAAAGCTTCAAGCCGGAAATCATAGTTTCTGTCTAAAAATTTATTAGTATTAGATTGTGTGGATCTAGCCAAGTGAGAAAATAAGTATGTAGAATACAGAAATATATTGTAAATAAAATGTTACTTAAGAAACACAAAATTATTTACATATCATTATGAAAATAAATGAAAAGTATAAATGCTCACAGATATAGACTAAAAAGACAAAAAAACCTGAAAGCAATCATGAATAAAACAGTATCAAGGGCTAGTGAGATTATAATTGATTTTTTAAGCTACTTATAATTTTTTTTTAGTGTTTATTTTTGAGAGAGAGAGAGAGAAGAGTCCAAGCTGGGGAGGGGCAAAGAGAGAGGGAGACACAGAATCTGAAGCAGGCTCCAGGCTCTGAGCTGTCAGCACAGAGCCCAACATGGGGCTCAAACTCACAAACCATGAGATCACGACCTGAGCTGAAGTCAGATGCTGAACCGACTGAGCCACCCAGGTGCCCCTAAACTACTTATAATTTAAAAATTACTCTTACTAACAGCATGAGATTTAGAGAAATTAACTTTAATAACTTTGGTCTGTAAACACATTAAAAATAATTTATCATTTCTAGATTATGCATATATTTTTAAATGAAAAAAATGGCTTAAATATTATCAGTTAGGTCATTGTTATGGTTCAAAGCCACTGGCATTATAATCACCCCTTAACTAAATAAAATAGTAAGTAAAATAAACTTATAAAAATTCATAGAAAATATCCTTTTGCCTTTAACGATGGTTTAAAAACAAAGTTTCTATCTAGAGAATAATCTGCTTTCTTTCCCGTTAGCCTGGACACAGGGGAAAATGTAATACATTCATGTGCCTTTAACTTTAACATAATATTATTAAATATAATCTTTTCTCAATTTTTACATAATCTTTTCTCAAATGTTTATGTTATCACAAGTTTAATTTTTATAATAAAAAACTTGCTTCATTCTTTGTTGTCAAATAGAATCACAGGAAGGTAGACCAGATAGGATCATGTCAGAGAAAATATAGGATCATCACACTGCTTGAAATTCCAGAAACTGTGACAGCCCAAACTGAGAATGTTTCTTAGAAGACCTAAAACAGGTCTTTCTAAACGGACTAAGGATTAGGGCTCCTTTTCTCATGAGAGGTCCTAAATTAGTCACTCTGTAAAACTTTAGGCAGTATCATCCCAAGAATTCAGGAGAAACTGGTGATGACGTCACAACCACTGAACATCAGGGCTTGCCCACAAAAGCTTAACACTCAGGGCCATGCCCCCTCTTTAAAGACATTTACATTTGATTTAGAAAATTACCAAGAAGAAACAGCACCCTATGTGGTTATAGGAGATGTCTGGTTGAACAAGCCCTTGTCTAAATGGCACCAAGGATATCAGACAGAGGGCTAAAATAGACACTGTGTGCATGCACACGTACAAACACGTACGCACACACACATGTATTGCAAAGGACGCTTCATAGACAAAAGATGTCCATTTATCTGCTTAAGAAAAAGTTACAGGGATCCACGTCAGTTTTATGACTTTTTTTGCCCTGCCAAAAACTAATCTGCCTTACCACTCCCAAGAATAATGCTAGGTCATTAGATTGTTTATAAATTCCGACATTTACTGAAAGGTTAATATATGCTAGATACGTGCTGGAGCCTGCGGAAACAAAAAGTAAACAGGATAGGTATGGTTTCTATAATTCCTAGGCTAAAGGCCCAGTAAGTAAAAGAGACAAAAAAAAAAAAAAAAAAAAAA